ACAGGAACCAAAATTACACTCTGCTGTTATTTTTTCACATCTCAGGCTATAATTTATTGTATTCTTCAGATCCTTTTCCTGATGGACCTTTAATGAAAGTCCCCTTTCTTCTCGCACTGATATTCCGTACCATCAGCTATTTATTCATACTTCGCTGCATTACCCCAGCAGCCCGATCCACTTACATAGGTGGTATACGCTCTGTTCTTTATTTTCCTCTCCTTCTCGGGCATTATCTATTCCGGTTTTTGCCTTCCTTGTTTCGTCATTACCGCCACCGATTCTGTTATTTTGGTGTTTTTAATGCCCACCATTTCCTCGGGAGGGTCTCACTGTGATTCCCGTGGAATTCAGTTAGAGGTTTTTTCTTGCCACCCACCCCCTCCATGTTTTAAATAAAAGGTACTCACACCCATTTTGACCCTCGGACATCATACTCTCTCTTGCATCGATCTCTCAGTTTGCTCTTCCTCCGCCCGCATTAGACTTTACTTGGTCTGTTCTCCCGGATTTACATGACAGTGATCATTTCCCAATAAATTCTTACTTCCCCTTCATATTCGCCACCTCTTCGCACCCCACGCTGGCAATTTAATCGGGCAAATTGGAACCTTTACTCACACCTGACTGTTTTTAAAGAGGTTCCTTCTTCGTCCTCCATCGATGAGCTTTTAACCTCTTCTCGTCCTCCGTTTTCACCGCAGTTTCTCATTCTATACCCCAAACTTCGGGCAGGCATTCTCAGAAAAGCGTGCCTTGGTGGTCTCCTGCTTGTGCTCGTGCAGTACGTTTGAAACGCGCTGCATGGGGCAGGTACAGGTACAATAGAACCACAAGCGACTCCTTGATTTTAAAAAAGAAGCGTGCGATCGCTCGCCGTGTCATCCGTGACGCTAAACGCACTTGCTGGCGAGATTATGTCTCCACCATCACCTCTGCTTCCTCTATGAGTTTCAGTCCCGGAAAAAAGTACGAAAACTGAGTGGTAAATATTCTCCTGACCCGGCTCCTTTTTCTGCGGGTTGCTGGTGTTGATATAGCAAAAACCCCCTAGATGTTGCCAATGAAATTGGCAATCATCTGGTCCGTATTTTTTCAGGGGCTCCATCTATGCCCCTCATTTCTTTCCTCAAAGTCTGCCAAGAGTTAGCACCCTTGGACTTTTCTTCTCTCAGAGAAGAACGTATAATGTGCCTTTTACACTTCCAAGAAATGGAGGCAACACTCTCAGCTGTCGATCATCGGCAGCTGGGCCCGACGACATTCATATTCGTATTCTACATACATTTACCCTCAGTCAGCCCTTGCATCCTATTACGCCTTTACAATCTTATTGGTCACAAGGAGTTCTTCACAGCTGTGGAAATCCGCCATTGTTCTCCCTTTCCACAAACCAGGCACTACGGGACATGAAACCCCCACTATCGTCCCATTGCTCTTACCAGTGCAGTTTGCAAAGTAATGGAACGTCTAGTAAATAACGTTTAGTGTGGTATTTAGAGACACACAACAGTCTCTCCACTCGTCAAAATGACTTTCGTAAGGACGTTCTACCATAGAAACCCCCTTACTGCGTTGGATACGTATTTCGTAAAGCCTTTGCGAATAAACCACTCAGTTATTGCCATATTTTTTGACCTTGAGAAGGCAAAATGACACAACTTGGAGGGATAATATTTTAGCCCAAGCCCACTTCCTTAGGCCTTCGAGGCAATCTACCATCCTTCCTTAAGAACTTTTTTAAATGACAGGGATTTCTGTGTTCGGGTTAATAATGTGCTCTCCCCGGACTTTATCCAAGCTGAAGGTGTCCCCCAGGGATGTGTTCTGAGCACAACACTTTTTCTCCTTGCTATTAATGATTTGGCCCCTAGTCTTCCATCAAATATTTGGTCATCACTCTATGTTGATGACTTCGCTATTGCCTGTGCAGGCGCTGACTGTCACCTCCTTACAGTTTCTCTCCAGCATGCAGTCGACCGTGTTTCCATTGGGCCACCACACAGGGTTTAAATTTTCCAGCACTAAAAACCCACCAAATCACTTTCACTAGACGCTCTGTCATCTCTGATCATCCTTTGTACCTCTATGGCTCCCCGTATCCCTGAACGTGATACAGTAAGTTTTTGGGCCTCCTCTTTGACGTATTTTTATCCGGAAAAATCACATTACCTCTCTGAAAACACTTGTCACGCCGGCTGAAACCTTCTTAAAACCCTTCCCATTTTCGTGGGGGGCTGATCGTCGAACCCCCCTTCCCTACTTCCACCCCTTTTTTTACGAAAAATTGATTAGGTGACCCGATTATTTTAGCGGCATTCCTGCTACTCTCTTACCTTAACCCCCCTTTATCACCCAAGGGTTACGTTTTTTTGCCTTTGGGGCTTTTTGCTCTTCCCCCGTCGAAAGCCCCTATGCAGAAGCGAACGTTCCTCCTTATCCCCATGCCGTGTTTCCCATTGCCTGCGTATAGTAGCTCTCATGATCTCCGCAACCTTCCATTTTTAGAATGGTACTGATATTAGTAAATTCTTTATTTTTTCGCCCCCCCTGCTTACCCGTCCCTCTCTCTTCGCCTTTTTCGCTTTTTGCTTTCCCTTTTCAACTACCCCCTTTCTATGTACATGTAGCATCTCTTTTTCCCCTACCCCCCGGGGAAAATTTCCCAGCTGTTCGAGTTGTTCTTTCTCCCCCCCCCTTTGCCCCGAAAGCCCAACTGTTTTACGGTCGCTTCCCGCCCTCTTTTTCTTGCCCTTTCATTTCCCCATTCTCACCCTTCCCTTGTTTTAAACAGGGGCTCTAAGCCCTTCTGACGGCGTGGGAAATTGCACAGTTTTTCCGGGGACAGCGCGAAAAAGGGGTTTTTAACTATTTTTCAGCAGTATTTTTTACGGCAAATTATATGCCATCCTTACACCCACTTTTTCCGTATTGCATCTATCCCTGTGTCATCATTTGGGGTTTTGTCCAGACCCCCTTAGTTTTTTAACAGGCTATCCCAAAAATTTGATAAAACCTCACCCCTTACCCCTTCCCGTATCCAATTTTGGGCTACCCGCATCTTTCCCAAGCATAAAGATTTTGGTTTTTTTTTGGGGTTTCCCTGGCAGGGTTGACTTTTACGGGGCAATAACGGGGCAGAAAACTGCTGGGGGCCCGGTCAGCAGAAAACATACCTACCATTTTTTTTGGGGGTTTTTTTTTTCCTGACGGACTATTTTGCTTTTAATACCCCCCCAAACCTTCAAAACCCTTTGGGGAAACAACGGGGGTCTACTATGTGGGAAAACAAACTTCAGTCTTTTTAAACCAAATATGGGTTTAACGGGCCCGTCTTCTTATCACCCGGTCGGGGTTGGGGAAACTTTTTTCTCCCCCGTTTTCCCTTTGGGGCCATACCTTTTTTACTCATGGATATCTCTTGGAAGGCGTTTTTGCTCCTCTCTGTGAAAATTTGGGAAGCCCCATTATCAGTCAGCCACATTCTGTTGGATGCCCCCTTTACAACGGCACGCAGAATTTACCTCGTCGTCGTTTTTCGCCCCGCGCCCTCTCTTTACCTTTTTTTCCCCTTCCGCTGAGGGAAACCCCCCTTTTCACCCGGGAACCCCTTCATTGACTTTTTGACAAGGATGACTTACTTCAAAAATTCTGATACTTAAAAACCCCCCTTTCTATTTGGGTATCTCTTCCCTACCCTCTACCCCCGTACTACCCCCCTCCCCCCCCTTTTTTCTGAAACCCTGTGATTCCCCCCCCCCCTTTTTGCCATCCAATTCCCTTGCTTCCCTTTCCCCACCCTGCAGCGCCCGATAGCCCTTGTGGCTTAGGCTTTTTTTTGATTTTTAATAATAAAAATAAAAACCCTTTCCCCCTAGCACTTTTTGATATTAAAAAGCCCCTTAACCCATTTACATTGCCACCCCCCGTGAAATGTCGGTTCAGTAATCGACAAGGTAAACCCCTCCAAACTTTAAAAGGCTTTCTTCAATTTTTATATTTAGTTCCGCATAACTAAGCGGAAAAAGTCTTTTAAAAAACCCAAATCCTGTCCTTTAAAACCCTTTCTAGCCAGCCCTTTTCCCCTGCTCTCTAGACTTCCCTACCCCTTTTTTTCCCTTTTTTCGTACAAAAAACCCCCGCATTGAAAATTGTACAAAAAATTTCTTTCTATTTTTAAAGCTGACTGAAAAATAAACCCTTTCCCCTTTATATAATAAAATTACGACTTTCAAAGTCCATACTAAACATTAATTTGTAATTTTTTAACATTAAAAACTCGCATAGTCCCCCAATTTACTGCCTAAATTTTGTCTGAAACCCCCCTTTTTTAAATTTTTAATCAAAAATTTACTTTATTCTTAGTAAAAAACTCTTCACATTTTTCCTTTTAAACCACTGTTGCAATGTCTTCCTTTTTTTCTCCTTAATTTTCAAAATTTTCCCTTTAGCTGTTTCCCAGTCTTGCGGGGCGGGACCTCGGTAGTAAGTAAACCCCAGAATGACGAGCAGCCAGACTTGCAAAATGAACCTCAAGAGAATGTAGACGCGCTCTTACTGGCTAATCGCCCACAAGATAACTTGGCAGCATCAATATTTCCTCGCCCACCAGTCGATTCTGAGAACTTCCATGAACCATGCAACTACTACTGCCGTAAACCTGCGGGTCTTCACAGAGGAGATTTCTATTGTTGTGGACCAGAATCCCTCCCAATAATAAGGGAACAAAGTACGTATAGTAAAACTTTAAAAACTTCCTATTTAATTTCCCATGTGCTATATTGGTTTAATTTAACTATGCCATACTTTACCTTGATTACAGAGAATAAAGTAACCCTGTATTATCTAGGGCACGCTGGTAGATGTCCTCCCGCCTTGACAACGTGCACTTCTCGCAGAGCTTTGGCCGCTCCCCCAGTAAGTTCATAAACCTAATTGCCAACAAATTCGTGAAATTGAATTAATTCCTTCTCGGTTTCATTTAAATTTCTCCTTTCCAGGTATGTCCTCGCGACGGTCACTGTCCTCGCGCCCAGAAATGCTGCTTCGATACCTGCTTGGACTACCATACCTGTAAACCCGCACACTAACTACTGACTTTATAAAATAAATTCTGCCTCCTACATATACTTTGCATCTTCCCTGAACTCGGGTTTTACTATAACCTAACTTTTATTAAGAAAATTTCCCAAATTTAAAAAAATTTAATTCCCTTTGGCTTTTAAAATTTCTCCAAATTTTGTCCTCCAACCCTCCCCCAAAAAATCTGCCAACCCGGGATCCTCCCTTAAACCCCAAATTTTAACAAAGATTTTAAAAAATAAATTTCCTCCCACTTCCTTTTTTCCTTCCCTAATTTCGGGGTTTCCTTCCCCTTTTTCCCCCCCAAAATTTCCCAAAATTACCGGGTATTTTTTCATGAAAATTAAAATTTTAAAAGTCCTTACAATTTTCCCTTTAAACCTCCTTTGGCCTGGTAGGGCTTTTTCTAAATTTCCCTGTTCCCCTTTACCAAAAACCCTTTTAAACCCCCATTTCCCCTTTTTTCCCAACCTTTTCCCCTCCCCCCCCTTTTTCCCCCCAAATTTTTACCTTCGTGATTTCCCCCCCCAAAATTTTATAAAAACAGGGGGGGTAATCTCCCTTTCCTTGGGTTTCTTGGGGGGCTTTTCCCTTTGGGAAAGGTTTGGCTGGGGGAATTGCCCTTTCCCCGGTTTCCCGGGCCCAAAAACTTTTTCTTTTCCAACCTTTCCCCCTTAACCCCCCTTTTCCCCCTTCCTCTTTTATTTTTTTCGGGATTTCCCCCCGGCCCCTTTTTCCCCCAAGGTAGTAAAAAAAGGGGGAAAGGGGGTATCCCCCGTTGGGTTTTTTGGCGGGGGTAGGGTTTAAAAAACGGGTTCCCAAGGGATTCCGCCTCTGGGGGTTCCCGAGTCCTCTGGGGGGGGGGAGGGGGTATTCGGGGCCCTTTCATTCCTTGGGAAAATATTTTTTGGGGTTCCCCCCCTTTTTTTTCCCCTTTTTTGGGGAAAAAAAAGAAAAAATTTCCAAACCCAAGGAACCCCTTTTTCCCATGAAGGGGTAGGGGGCCCCCTTCCCATCCGGCCCCCGCCCATTATGGACCCCTTTTTTGGGCCAAATTTCCCCCTTCCCCTTTTCCCCCTGGAACCTTTTCCCTCCGGTTTTCCCCCTTTCCTTTTTTATTTTTCCTTTTTTTTTAAAAACAAAAAAAAACCTTTCCTCCCCTGCCATGCCTTCCCCCCGGGGCCCCCCCCCTTATGGGGCCCCTTTTAAACCCCACCCGCCTTTTGGCCCAAACTCTTGTTCCCAGCCTCGTTAACCAATTCCGGTGTGTTTCCCCCTTCACCTTTTTCGGTTTTCCTCAAAACAAACCCCCGAAAAGACCTTCCCTTTTTCCCCCACGTTTCGGTTTCAATTTAAAAGTGGGTTTTAAATCCCCCTTTAGGGGAACAACTTTCCCCACGCCAAAATTTTTTCCGCCCAATTTAGGGAAGGCCTCCACCCATTTTGTTTTTTTTTAAAGAAAGGGGGTCGCAGTTTTCTTATTTTTCCAACCCCTACCGGGCTCTTTGGACTTTTTTTCCCCTTTCCCAATTTTTTTTTTTTTTTTTGGGGTTTTTTTTTTTTTTTTTTTTTTTTTTTAATTATATTTTTTTTTTTGATACTGTTCTGTCACCCTTGAAAAAATCTTTCCCTCAATTTTTTGTAGGGGTTACCGTTTTTCTGCCCCATACCATAGTTAAAACAAAAATTTCCGGGAAAATTGTGGCACCGACATTCTAAAACCCGCTGGAATAAAAAGATCTCCCAATCCTCAAGGTAGACACTTGTTCTTCCTCCCCGGGGGCAGAGACGATACCCTAGCAATGGGGGCTCGTTTAATTTTTGGACAGCCGAAAAACTCCCATCCCCCGTTTATATAGCAGGACATCGGTTACAAGTTTGAAAGGTGATCCCTACACCACAACAGTGTAGAAATTGTGGCGTTTTGGAAATCCGGGCAAAAAAATATTGCAGATCTATCGGGGAATGCCCAGTTTGGGGGGTTCCCGATGACCTTTTAATACGTTTTTGCAATCGATCCCCCTTTTGGGTTTTTAAACTGTCATGGGTCACCCTTCGTACTTTTCGCCGTTGTGGGTTTTTTTAAAACGAGGGGGAAAAATCCGTTACCTCAAAGAGACAGAAGGTCTCCCTTATCCCCAGGGGCGGGTTTCTCATCTCGCCCCCCAAGGGAAAAACTCCCACGTGTTTCTTATTCCGTGTTTCAAAACTTTCCCCCCACTTCTGGTATCCCACTTCTAAAACCCCCCTCTTTGGTTACCTTTCCATAATCCTTGTATTAATCCTTTTGCTGCCCTGGGGCTCAGACGTCCCTACTTCAACCCCTTCATTTTAAAATTCGCTTCTTCGGTTCTTCTTCAAGCTCAGTTTAAACGAGACCTGGGACGCCCCCCTTTTCCCCAAAATCGTCCCTCTACTTCTAAAAAAGTAAAAAAAAGGTTTCCCCCGGGGTAACACCCCCTCCCCATCTTCCCCTCCTCTTTTTTCCCCCCTTTGTCTTTTTGCCCCTAGTTCTTCCCCTTCACGGGCTCGTTAAAAGTGCAGGGGGTTCACCCCCTCCTCGTAATGTACCTTCCCCCCCTTTTCCCCCCCAAGTTTCTTCTCTTCTGCCACCCCCCAAAGGTTTTCCTGTTTTCTTTGTCCCCTGCCACGCTTCCCCCAGTTCCCTCCCCCCTTTCCCCCCCCCCCTCCCTTGGGTTTACACCCCAAATTTCATTTCCCAAATTTTTATCTCCTCCCCTATTTTTCCCAATATTGTCCCCATACGACATTCTGAATTCCAAAAACACTTAAAAGCAATCTCTGAAATTTTGCAGAGACCAAACCATCAATGGCACTGACCCAAACCTTCCGCTTTTTCCCCTCTCCTCTGCCCCATCTGCGCAACTCCTTTCTTCACAGGGCACCTTTCCCTTCGCTGTTTAAACCTTTTTCCAATGCCCGCATTTTTGGATTTTTAAAAACCCCTTCAAGTCCGTGGGAAAACCCTTACCTGCGGATTTTCAAGTATTTTTAAACATTGCCAATCATGGCCTTTTTACAGTGGAATATACGCGGCCCCGGGGGGGGTAACGGGGGGAGCTTCAGATTTTCCCCCCTCCCCCCCGTTTCCCCCTGTTGGGGGTTTGTTTTACGGGAAACCCAAAAATTAATTCTGCTGTTTTTTTTCCCTCACATCTCAGGCTTTTAATTTTATTGTATTCTTCGATCCTTTTCCTGATGGGATTTTAAATTAAAATCCCCCTTCTTTCCGCATGTTTTTCGTACCATCAGCTTTTTAAATTCATATTCGCTGCATTAAAACAGGGGCCCTTTATCCACTTCCCTAGGGGGTATACGCTCTGTTTTTTTTATATCTCTCTCCTTCTCGGGCTTTAATCTACCCGGGGTTTTTTGTTTTTTTGGGTTTCGTAAATCCGCCCCCGATTCGGGTTTTTTTTTTTGATTTTTTTAAAGCCCACCATTTTTCCCCTGGGGGGGGGGGTTTACTGTGATTCCCGTGGGGAATTTAGTTAGAGGGGTTTTCTTGCCCCCCCACCCCCCCCTGTTTTAAATACAGGTACTCACACCCTTTTGATTTCCCCGGACTTTATACTCTCTCTTGCATCGATCTTCAGTTTGCTCTTCCTCCGCCCCCATTGACTTTTCTTGGGCTGTTCTCCCGGGCTTACATGACAGTGATCATTTCCCAAACTTTTTTATTCCCCTTCCCTATTCGCCCCCTCTTTGCACCCCCCGCTGGGGAATTTAATCGGGCAAATTGGGGAAACCCTTTTCTACCCTGACTGTTTTTAAAGGGTTCCTTCTTCCCTCCTCCCTCGATGAGCTTTTACCCTCTTCTGTCCCCCGTTTTCAAACCCCAGTTCTCATTCTTACCCCCCCAAAATTCGGGGCATTCTCCGAAATGCGTGCCCTTTGGTTGGGGCTCCTGCTTGTGCTCGTGCATTTCGTTTTTTAAAAGCACTGATGGGGGGGTACCGGGGACAAAGAACCACCGAAACGAAATCCTTGATTTTAAAAAGAAGCTGCCATCGCTCCCCTGTGTTATCCGTGCGCCCAAACGCACTTGTGGGGAGATTGTCTCCACCATTTACCCCCTTGGGTTCCTTATGAGTGCAGTCTTTGGAAAAAAAATACGAAAAAATGAGTGGTTTAAAAATTCTCCTGACCCGGCTCCTGTTCTGCGGGTTGCCCGGGGTTGAAAATTTTTGGGGAAACCCACTAGATGTTGCCAATTTTAAAAATTGGCCCCAAACATCTGGTCCGTATTTCTTTAAAGGGGCTCCCCAAAATTTTGCCCCTCATTTTTTTCCTCAAAGTCGCCCAAAAGATTGACCCCTTTGGGCTTTTCTTCTCTAGAGAAGAACAGTAAAATGTGCCTTTTTTCCCTTCAAGAAATGGAGGCAAACACTCTCAGCTTGTCGATCTCGGCAGTGGGCCCGACCCATTCATATTCGTATGCTACAACATTTAATCAGTCAGCCCCTTTCAGTTTCCCATTTGCCTTTACAATCTTTTTTTGGTCACAAAGGGGTTCTTCCACAGCTGTGGAAAAACCGCCATTGTTTCCCTTTCCCCAAAAACCCGGCACTACGGGCATGAAACTCCCCCCCTATGTCCCATTGCTTTTTCCCGTTTCAGTTTGCAAAGTAATGGGGAAAAACTAGTAAATAGACGTTTTGGTGGGGATTTAGGACACAAACAGTCTCTCCTCACAATATGGCTTTCGTAAGGGGGCGTTCTACCCCCTAGGGCCCCTTAATGGCTTGGTACGTTGTTCGTTTAAAGCCTTTGCGAATAACCCCTCAAGTTTTTTGGGCCCTTTTTTTGACCTTTAGAAGGCATATGACACCAAATTGGAGGTATAAAAATTTTAGCCCCAAACCCCCTCCGTAGGCCCTTTGAGGCAAACTACCATCCTTTTTAAGAAATTTTTAACGGGCAGGGGATTTCCCTGTTCGGGTTAAAATGTGCTCTCCCGGGGCTTTTTCCCAAACTGAAGGTTTTCCCCCCCGGGATGTGTTTTGAGCACAACACTTTTTCCCTTGTATTTAAAGATTTGGCC